AATTTACTTAAAACTCAAATAAAAATAAAAATAAAAGTAATAAAACTTAAAATAGTTATGTCATACAACTTGTACAATTAAAAAACAAACAAAAAAAAACATTATCATATTAATAAATAATATATTTTATAATAAAACTATTCTGCGTTGTATAGAATTTTTGAAATGATCAATTATATCGTCGGGATTTAAGTTAATAGCCATTTCTTGTTCTACCGTTATAAGCATCAATGCATTTAGTCTTTCTTGAAGCATACTAGTACTTCTTAACTTAGATTTTACCAAAGTTAATTTTGAAAATGATCGTTCACATGTACAGCTTGTGACCGGTATAACTGCGAACTTCACTTCTTTAAAATGTTAGTAAATTTTCCAAAAATATTTTGTTTATCATCATTTTTTAACCATTAAAGCCAAATATGAAGCATTTTAGCGCCCAAGTTGCCTTCAATTTGTTTCGTTATTATTTCATGATTTTGTATCAAATTTATTTCAGCTACCAATTCATCTTTATTGCATTTAAAATGATTGCTTAGTAAATTTATAAGGGGAATCAATGCGCAGGCGAGCGCATCGACGGAGGACGCAGCACGAGTTTCGAGTTTCAACATTATAATATGTACACTCCTAGGTCGCACTAAAATTAGTAATTATTTTTCTTGCTCACAAAAGTTTTTTTTCCAAAAACGATTTTTGCCCCTCAAAGAGCTTCAGGGTATGCAGCTGCATACCCTGCATACCCCCTGCGCACGCCTATGGATATATATATATTGTTACAATAGCACTTGAAAAATATTAAATATAAATTTTTTTTATAAGCATTTAAAGTTCAAATTTTGACAAAATTTATCACATTTAAAATTTAATAATAATTTTATAGTTAAAAAATTATAAAATGTTCAACTTTTATAGGAAATGATTGAAAATTTAAAACAAGATTCTACGTAAATAGGTTATATATAAATTACTTTATTCACCTTAGTATCATCAAATATACTTCGTAATATCATAGGCTGACTAACCGTTTTCGATCAGAATGGTTTTTCTTATGCAATGATATTATATCATTGAATTCAAATTTAATACCATGATGGTATTACCATCCATTATACAGTGACCCACTTGTAACCTATACTGTACAGCAGAGCACCTTTTTTAAAAATTATATTTTAAATTTTTTTATTGTTGTGTCTGTCATCAAATTTTAGGACAGTAAAAATGCTTAGATTTTCTTCAACAGTATCTTTTCTGATAGGAAAGTGAATCTAGTTAGTCCTATGGGGGGGTCAAAACAAAAGAAATAATAAGGAAAAACGGGAATTTTTACACAAAATCTGTTTTCGAAAAAATCAATTTTGGTTTTTGGTGCAACTCTTAAACAAATGACCGTAGGTACATGCAATTTTGACTGAATGTTTATATTAGCATTTTCTATACACCATAAAATTTTCCAAATATTTTGACTTATTTTGAGCTGTTTACGGACATTTTCAGTTTCCATTTTTTTTAGTTTTTTTTTCTATAAATATTAATAAAATTGTATTTGTTTTTTTAAAAAAAGCTTGTTAATTTAATAGAAGGCTCCAAGTATATTGTTTCAAAGGCAGATGAAAAAAATTAAAAATCAATGGTCACAATTTTTTTTTATTAGCATTAAAAGTTCAAATATTGACAAAATACGTAAAAATGACAAAAATTTGATAAAAAATTTTCTTTTTAAATCTAAGATTTGAAAATATAGTACAAGATTCTTCATAAGTTTTTCTACCTTTGACAAAAAAAAAAAGTTTACAAGGAACTCAAATTAAATTTTTTTGAGCGTTTGAAATTCATATTTTTACAACATTTGATATTTACAAGATTTCTCATGTAATGATTTTCTTATTTTATTGTAAATAAAAAACGAATGACTGTAGTTACTTGAAAATTTCATTGAATATTTATATATTAGCATTTTCTATACACCATACAATTTTGAAAATAATTTGACTCGTTTTGAGATGTTTACAGACATTGCCAGTTTTCAATATTTTTAGTTTTTTTTCTATAAATATATCAATAAATTTTTATTTGTTTGTTAAAAAAGCGTGAAAATTTAATGCAAGGTAAAAATATTTTGAAAAACCGAAGAATGTTACATTCAAGCATATACCATTGTCCATTACCAACGGATATTGAAATATTTCTTGAAAACCACATTAAATCGCTGAAAGGTGCTTCTCTTCTACGTGTAGCTATAAGAACAACAATTAATCTTCTTCGTGTCCAATTGTATCTGAGTTAAATAACAAAAAACCTTGAACAACATCAATTATTTCCTATGATTTTAATATATCACCTGAAAATGAAGACAACCAAAACTTAACTTCACTGCCACTAGCTACAAATTATGTCAAATAGTCACCGAAAAAGACAGTCTAGAATCTTTATCACCATTACTTGTTTTAAACGAGTTAAATAATGCAGAACGTGAATATTGCGCCACATCTCCCTGTGATACGTGGTAGAAAAATTGGTCAACGGGAAAAATCTGATAGGAACATCTAATAAATCAACATCTGATGATGATGATGAGTTCCAAAATCTAAATTTTTTTCAAGGTTCCACACGATAGTCACTTGAATGAAGAAAGTCGCGCTGTGGAAAATTGGAATAGAAGAAGTAAAACGCAACGAAAAAGTACCTCCTACCTAAATCCAAACAGGCACCTACGTCATTTGAATATAAATACATCAAGCACAAAAATGACATTGGTAATTTTAAAAAATATTTCTAGTTTTGCAGAATTAAAAAGTTGTAAATCGAAGGGGTTAAAGTCATTTTGAGCAACACCTGTGCCTCCGATTCATTGACATCACTAATAATGGTTAGTAACATTTTAAATTTTTTATAAGGAAATAGTATAATATAATTTAATCAATATTTCGAATGTTCACTACATATTTTAATTTTCCGAGCTGGACAATAACGAGTAAAAAGATAAGGTTAAGTTATTTTTAACTAAGTTACGTTAGATTAGCTGTTATATCAACTGCTTAATTACCTACTATCTATTTCCTATTAAAAAAAGTAACTGACGTTTAACTAAGTCACTATTAAGTTACTTTATTTTCTAATTAACTTCAAACTTTTACAAGTTAACACAAAGTAAGGTAATTTTTAACTTTAAACATAACTTATATTAGTATATCGTTAACTTAGCTATGTTGACTCAACAAATTTTTGTTTACAATCAAGCCCGGATTAAAGGGGGGCACGGTCCCGGGGCCCATTGATTTTGGGGGCCCATCTTTATCACCAAAATATATTTTTTTAACGCGTCCAATACAGTTTTCAAAAAATTATTTAAGTAGGTAGGTATAGTAGGTAAATTATTATTAATAATTATAAAATAAATATGTTCCCAATTTTATACCACCAAAAATTACTATAAATAATGAACTATGTTTGCCAATAATTTTGTTTGTTTGTTCGTTTTTTTTTTTTTTTTGAACATTTTAGATTACCAATTTAACTATTTAAGTATATAAAAGGTAGTTATAAGAAAAAAATATTTAGCTCTTGTAAATTAGGTATTTCAGTTAGAAGTATTAATGCATATTATAGTGATGATAAAAACAAGACCAAGACGGCAAGACTTTCAAAATATTGGGCTTGGTCTTTATTTTGCAGACTCAGTATTGGTCTTGGTCTTGGTCTTGAGCAAGACTCTTGCAAGACTCTAGCTATTTTCACAAAATATATAAAAAATAACTAAATACCTGTTATAGCTGTGTGTAGGTTTTTTGTTATGATCTCTAAGATGATTTTGGGAAAATAAAATAATTGTTCAGTAATTGTTAATTAGTATGAACAACTATGTTATTTTGTAATATCAATTCCCATTTTATTTCTAATCTTTTTTTCAATAATTCGCCATTTCCTCGAACACTGGTCAAATTTCATAACAATACAAATAAATTGTTTTTATTTTCGTTATAAATTATTAGTTAATGAAATCTAGATACAGTAATGTGTTTTCGGGAAAAAAGAAAAAAATTTGCAAGACCGTAAGAGTCTTGCAGTGATGGTCTTGTCTTGTTCTTGCGAGACCGCAAGACCAAGACCAATTTTGATCGTCACTAATGCATACTTAGAAGATCATAGTTAATAACCTAGCTAACCAAAATTGATCATTTGACTGTCAAAATTTTTAGAAAAAAAGCTTTAGCGGAATCCATAAAAAAAACATAGTGGTTACCATTTGAAAAAATAAAGTCAATTTTATTATTTTTACAACTGCATGTTTAAAAATGTTGAATATGTTATAAAATAAATTGCCTGTTAAAAGTAAAGAAACGATTGTCTTTTTTTCTTTTAACAAAATTCCGTATCATCGATCCATACCTAATTGTTAAAAAAAACAGCATACAATGACATAAAATACACCCTTTATATTTTTTTATTTTTGTATAGTAAAAAATTATACAATAATATAAAGTCGTTAATATGTAATGATACAATTATTTTGAAGTTAAAGTTGAAAGGGGGCCCAATTGATCCTTAATCCGGGCTTGTTTACAATGACTTAGAAAATTAGTTAACTCCCCTTTACTTTTTAAATAAATTGTTAATTCGATTACTCGAGGATAAAGTGAAACTTCTTTCAATTATTCAAGTTAACGTAACAATGTAATTTTTTTTTTGGGGGGGGGAGGACGAAGTGTCAGAGTGGACTAAGGCGTCAGTTCGATACCTCGGCCATGGGTGGCATTTTTCTTCGGGCAACTCACGGTGTCCGGAGAAAAAGTGCCGCCATCCCCCACCCGGGCATGGTAGATACCTACGGGTGCCCAAACCAAAAATTCTGCCAAAACAAATACAAGTGTTCCTCCCCGACCAACAAAAACTACAAACCAACAAAAATAGCTAATGGCCTTAGTTGCCGGGCTCAAGCTCAATAAAAAAAAAAAATATCTTTTTTTTCGTATCCTCTGTAAAAAAGTATCACTTTCACCGATCTATTTTAAAACCATATCGGTACAGTACCAAAAAAATTTTGTTTTTGGTTTTTGACAATGTGGTTGGTGTTTGATTTGGGATGTGCTGCTTTTCTGGTTGAATCCGTGACGTTGATTGTTGATGTTTGTGGATTGTGTTGGTAGACTTTCTATTGTGATTTCCTTTGTTGAGATTTCATTGAATTGTAATCTCCTAATTTCTGGTATACCGCGGTTTTGTTGGACATTTTCAGGAACTTTGAATACTTGACACTTGGCCATTAGATTGGCTGAGATGTCACCGTAATTTCATTTCCAGTTTGAAAGCTTTTTTCCGATAATCTTTTTATTTGTTTAATCTTGGGTGTTCTGAACGTGGTAAGAGCCGCTAGGTGGAAGCCACTTTGTAATGATTAGAAAATGAGAAGAAATAACTGTAAATGGTTATATGTCACTATGCAATCACTAACTACCAAATTATGTTATATATTAATATATTATCTTTTTCATTCTTCTTCTTCTTCTTTAGTCATTATTTATAAAACACACATTTTCAAATAATAAAAAACCTTTTTTTTATTGGTTATAAGTTATAGTTTATTTATTTAACATATGACATTTACATTTAATATAACAGTTAATTTACTTTGCAATAATATCCTTTTGTACAGAATGTCACGCACAGCTCAAACCATTGGACGGATGGGGCTGAAATTTGGCATGAAGATAGCTATTATTATGTAGGCGTCCTCTAAGAAAAATTTTTTGGAAATTCACTCCCTAAAGGGGGAAATAAGGAGTCCTAACAATATAACAGTGGCGCCATATATCAAGCAATATCTAATTTAAATATACAATGTTGGTTTTAAAATACAAAACATAATTGTGGTTCATTTAATGATCAAATTTGCAATAAGAAAGGATTTTCTGATATTCATATTTTAAAGAGGTGGTCACAGAGATCCTAATGAATCATGGTGGACATTTTTTTGTTTATTAATGGTTGCCTTTGATGCAGGTTATATATACTTACGAATTATTTCACAAAGCTAGGTACAATTACGCTGGTTTGTCCGTAAAAATAAAATAAAATGAATTACGATAAAATTAAACAAAAAATATAATATTATTTATTTATTTTATTTTTATTTATTCTTCAAGAAGATAATTTGCCCCACTGAACACTGTATACACATTTTTTTCAACTACAAAGATATACTAATATATTAATATAGGTAGGTTTTATTTTATCACCCCCATCGGCGTGTTCACAAAACCATAAGCGAGTCTCAAGGGTAACGCCACGCGGAATAGCTAAAAATTAAAATATAATATCATTTTGCTTCCATATGCACAGCGAATTATACGTAAAAGGAGTTAATTAATCAAAATGTTTTCCCGGGCAACGCCGGGTTATTTAGCTAGTAACATTATAAAAACCTTGTTTATGATCATGTTTATAATAATGAACGATGACAAAAATGTCAATATAATTAGTCTTAATATGTATTTTTAATTTTTATTAGTAGTATTAAAGTAGGCAATAGCACAAAAGATAGAATGGTATGTGGTAAAACCCATAATTCCCTAAAATGGACGAAATTAATTTCAATCTTTTTTCGTCAAAGCCACGGACTTATGATATCTTCTTGGTTCATGGTCAAAATATCTACAACTAAAAACTATGATTAAGATAACTCCACAGGGGATGCAATGGTATGTATACCCGGCATCCCCCGTATGCACAACTATAAAATTTATATGATGTACATAATTTACAAATATAGAAAATATTATGTTATAATATACAGGGTGGGGCACTGAAACGGCCGATTTCAAACATAGATTTTCATTAAAAATCGGCCGTTTTAGTGCCCCACCCTGTATTATACAAGTATCAACATTATGAATGATACTTTTACCGAATTAAAATAGGTGGATAATCATTTACAAAATTCTTGAAATTATATATGAATGAAAAAATATTACACACATTTTTATTTAAGTAAACATAGGTATACAAGTATATAATTATAATTACAGCTGTGGCCTATGGTCGTATACATAAATTTTATAGTTTGTATGGTTCAACAAAACAAATAAAAGATTTTTAACAATCTAGAAAAATATTAGAAAGAAGACATTGCTTTCAGTAAGTAGTAGCCTACTCTTTTTTGGTCACACATACTGCTTGGCCTGGCAAATGTAATTGATAAGTACAATTTTATTTTTATATTTAAGACTAAAATAACACACAGGCTGAGATGGCCTAAATTTGTTAGTCCTTTGAATGTTCACTATTCACTTTAACCAATGTCTCCTATATTTTTAATTATTTATAACAATTAATTTAGGTTCCATTATCAACAATTAAATTGTATTAAATTAAATCAATAAGTAAGATGTCTGAAGTATCTTATAGTAAAGACAAATTGCCTTACATATAACTTAATAATACATAATAATATATAATATAATTAATACATGATAAATAGGTAATGACATTGTTATAACAAAGAAACATCAAATAACATATAATATAAATTAACAATGCACCTATTTCAACAATACATATTATAATTCAATTTAGCTCATTAAAAATTGTATATTCCATATTGATATATTTGCCAATTGGTATTTATTATAATTGAAACCTCTCATATTATAATATCTGAATATTGAAATATTAATAAGTGGATTTTTAAAAACTATCTTGAACTGATTAGGCTTTTATTCTTTATATAATATATATATTATTCTTTAATAGTTTTACAGTTGTCCACATATATTGGTATGGAAATATTTACAGTAGGTATAAACTTAAACATACAATTAAATATTTTTAACTGGATCCATACATATTTTGTTCATTAAATAATACATAGTTGCAAATAAAACGTTATACTAAATAATTGTTGGACAAATACCTTGAGTAATACTAAGTATGTACAATTAATTATCCCATATTATTGTGTACCTATTTATCAACAATAAATTGCAATAAGTACCCAACTTCACTCAGTAATTAGTTTTTTTGGTCTTTAGATTTTAAATATGTATCATAAAATGTGTTTTAATAAATTCCCAATACAAACACAGCTAATACTTGCAGCTAATGTTGGCTTACCTGTTTCTTTTAGCATTTCTTTGACCATTTCTAAGATGGTGCACTGTTTTGGCATAACTTTCACTATGGCAATAAAAAGTCTTAACAACCAAAATGCTTCCTTGTAAACTCAGTCGCACCATGGTTACAAATAGAACGTTAGAAACAAGCAAAATAAATGAATAAAACAAAATTTTATGAAGAAGACCTTTGCAGTCTTTTATTGCGGAGAGTTTATAAATAACAATACTAAAAGAAACAGGCAAGCCAACACAAAAAACAAAAAATACCGGGCAAATTAAATCCGGCGTTCATAATGAAACACCCTAGGTATATAAGACACAAAATTATACTAACATTTAAAATTACTCTTATATAATAAATTATAATCAAAATCCTCCTCTACACTTGTCAGAGATATTACCAAAACGGCAGAACTCACCCATGATATGCAATATGCATGTTAGGTGTATAGTTAAATAATGGAATTTTCTAAAAATAATCGTTTACAATTGATTTACCTACCTGATTAATTACAGTATCTCAATCGCAACTTTAAGATTACCGTTTTTACAACAATAATTACAGTGTAAATTTATTATTTTCGTACCTACGTAGGTAATAAAATAGAAACAAATTAAAGAAATGTAAAAAAGAAGTTGAAAGCGCATTGTATAATTAACAATGTGTAATCAGTTTCACATTTAAATTTTTTACTTTGAAGTAACTCAAATTTTCTTACATTCACTTTTCCATCAAACTATTGATAGTCCGTAGTGTTTCCTAAGTATAAATGCATTGATCCTTTAAGTGTACCCAATTAATGTGAATTTGAAACAGTATAATATACAAATATAAATTAAATGGGATGGCACAAAAACACAATACAATTAGCAACGATAAAATAATAATAATAACTAACAAATAGAATATAATATGTGCCTACTTTATTTTTTAGTTAAATGAGTAAGCGGCATAATAATAATTAAAGGTATTTACAGGGGCGTATTCAAGAGGCGGATGTGAGGGTCAGATCCCAAATTGTATAAATAATCATTTTTAGAAAACCCTAAAAATATAACACTATTGTTCATGTTCATAAAAAAAATGTAGTTATATCATGACTTTACACTTATAATACATAGATGCAATTTACGAATTTTCTATAATCATGAAGACACAAATAAAAAGTACAATTGAACTAGGTCCAAACAATAATAGAAAAAATCTAATATCATGGAACTGTAAATAAGAGAAGACAGTAAAACACTGTGAAGACAATATTATGATAATTTCTGTCATATGAATCATGGATGTATATCAACATAATATATTATATGTATAGTATATATAAGACTACTTTATATCATTTATTTATTATATGAAATTATAATTGTAATATATAATAGATAATTGTTTACCTAATACATTTTGACAACCAATCCATAAATTATTTATACTTCAAATAGGTTCAAATTGTATAATATAACTGCTTATAAACATATGCGTGACTAGACCTTTAAATTTGGGTGGCTTGGGTCTCAACTAAAATATTTTTTCATACACTTTAATGTTTTTTTAGGGCATTATTAACTAGGTTTTTTTTAGGTTCTCACCACTGATCCGACCCTCTCCCTTACAAACCTTAAAAATCAACATAATATGTTCATTGGTTAAAAAATAATAAAATAAAACAAAATTACGAAGTGCCTGAATTTAGTGACGAGTAGAAGAGTTATATGGACGAGTTATGTTTCTATTTTCGATTTCTTCTTGGCGAGTAATATAATCTACGACAGGGTCGTTTTCAAATCCAGCGTTTAATAATCTTTGATGTAAATTCATTCTGACAACTTCCCATTCATTTCGATTTGGTGGACAATTGTTGGTATAACTTTTATTCCTTTTAGTAATAATGCGGTCTTTTATTGCTGCTTCACGCTTATCTTTAATTTCCTTCGGCAAATGTTCCACAATCTTCTCAATGAAACCTTCTAAAGTCAAACAATATGATTTTGATTTAACTTCCACACGACAAATTGGACATGCTACTACACGGTCTGTCCAAACATCAATGCACGATTCACAAAATGTGTGTGAACAGTTAAGCACAGTTGGCTGAAAAAAAAAATATTATTGATCTAAGGAATTTTAATTTAAATGTATCGTTTTGTGATATTGACATATATTTGTATTGTATATAAAAATTATTTCCTAACTTTTACTGTGGCTGGGGTACAAGATATATAACATTTATATTTTATGCATATTTTTAGAATACTTATATAACTTAAAATATAAAATCCAATTTACAAATATCCTATCTACATGTTTACTGTTTTGTAGATAGTTTTCAGTTTCACAATAACAAAAAGGTGGGCAAGTGGGTATCACTCTGCTGTATATTAGGTGTTGTATGGGTCACTGTAATGAATTTGTTATGAAATTAATATGAAAAAAGATTCTGAGTGAAGACAATATGTATTAATAAGTATATTTTATTATATTATTGGTCTTAAGCTAATTAATTTTACTACTAGTAAAACAGTATGTTGAATTCATTTTTGCCAAAAACATTTCTTTTGATATACTTCAAGTCTCAAGAGTTTCATGAACCCACGAATAAAATTTTCAAATTACAAAAAAATAACTAAAATTGTTATTCATTGTTTCAATATTTAATTTCGTCCCATTTTGAACCTACAATATTCAAGGCTGGGCAAGTTAAATATTTTTTTTAACTCGTTAAGTTAAGTTAATTTAGAAAAATGTAAGTTAAGTTTAAAGTTAAAAGTTAACTTTTTTTTTTTAACTTGTAAAAGTTACAAGTTAATTAGAGAATAAAAGTAACTTAACTTAGCTAAAAATTAGTTACTTTTTTTTTTTTTAAAATAAAATTAATAATTATACCTACCTACTTTTTTCAAAGCCAACAAATAACATAATAATTCAATAAATCAATAAATGTCTTACAAATTTTAAATAAATGTTTGTAATAAAATAAGTTATTGTAGGTACTTATATTTGTATATTATACTTTACTCAATGATGAAATCAGATAAAATAATTAAATTATTGTTATGTATTTGTTAACGTAAATGGTCCACAACTATACTAAATATTATAATAATCAAATTCATTATTATTTATTAGAATATAATATAATATCAAATATTATGCAATTAATAGTAATAATTTAGAAATACGTAAATACAATGAACTACGACACTACTACGGGTATTATACTATTATTTACACCGACGGGCCAAGTTATCGCTGTAATTTTATGAATAAATACAAATATAATAAGTAATAATATTAATAATCATTAGGTATAGGGTATAGGTCATAATATAACCTAACCTAACTCGTGTATGAGTAAATTGTTATATTTTTCTTTTATTAATGACGCGGTTACCCCTATAACATTTCTTTCTACAATATAGTTGTATAATATTTTCTGTGAATATGCAATATAATAACTTACTATTATTATAAATTATTATTAACTCCTTAATGCCCAGCTTTGATAATATTTATTAAAAAGAACTGTGTTTATATATTCTTCAGATTTTTTTTTCGTTATAGTATGAAATAATTATGAGAAACCTTGTTTTCAATTTTCAATTTTTAGGTATACAAATAGAACATTTTATACATTTTTAACTACAATATAATTTGCAAATTTATTTTTGTGACAAATGAATATTGTCAAAAATCTAACTTCAGACGCTTATAAAAAATTACTATGCATATTTTTTTTAATCTCCACTAACAAGTAACAACAATTTATGAGGAACCTTGTATTCATTTTTCAATTTTTTTGACCGAGCTAAAAATCTTTTATCGACAATAATTTTAAAATACTAATAAAATCAAAATTTCTCATGCCTATAAATAGGTCAAAAAGAGTAAAAATATTTAAAAAAATTGTATGGTGTATAGAAAATTTAATGTTAATATAAACATTCAGTGAAAATGAAATGTATCTACAGTTTTTTTTTAGTTACACTAAAAACCAACATTTTTTTTCTGATATTTTTGAAAACTACTGAGAATTTTCAAATATATTAACTAGATTCACTTTCCCTATCAGAAAAAAAACTGAAGTTGACGATCGACTACGTATCATGTAGACACACACAACAAATAAAAAAAACCTCATCTTTGCAAAATAAATACATTCATCAGAATCTCAGAATCTAGAAGATTAAATAAATACCTAACTAAGTTATTACTTATTATTATATACATTGTTCAGTTTTCAATAGTGTTATAGAAGTCAAACTATAATTATAGGTACTGTTGAATGCTGATACAGTGATACCTATGACCTATCCGTTTACGGCTACACTAACTCCTTGGATATTTATATTGTAAAAATTAAAAAATTCTTATTATATAATTCCTGAAAATTATAATTTATATAATTATATATAGTACCTTAATAAAGATTTCCAAACATATATTGCACAGTAAATTACTGTCAATAGCAGACAATAAAATATCATCCCACAGAGAACCATGATTTTCAGTACTTTCTTTCATATTTTTTTGATGAAGTGCATTAAAATTACTCGCAGCAGAAAGTTCGTTCGCAATCATTTCCGTTGCTATTTTAGAATTGACAGGTTTTTTTAATATCGGTCTAAAATTAATATGATTTTATTAAACATTTAAATAACATCAATAAATAAATTAGCTAAAATTGAAAGAACATACCTCATGGGTGCTTCAAGCTGCAATTGAAGGTCTTGTGCTTGTACTTGAGCGGTTGAGGCATTAGTACTATTGGTACTGGTACTAGAACTTTGATACGGCCTTGCACAAAGATCTTGTACTTGTATTTGTGCAATTAAGGCGTTAGTACTAATGGTACTAGTATTTTGAGCTGGGCTTTCATAATGATAATCTAGTTGTGCTCTTGAGGTAGGTGCACTTGAGGTAGGAGCGGTAATAGTATGTTGATCTGGCCTTTCCCTATAATTTTGTTCTGGTAGTTGCTCATTTACGGCATTCATGTTATAGGCATTTCTTTGAGCAGCCTTTGCCTTTGCCCTTTCTATTCTTCGAATGTCTTTAACTAAGGGGAAAGAATTAAAAATTAAAAATTAGTTCCTACTTTTTATAAACAAGTTGCTACGTATAATCTATATACCAAAATCCAAAATCTATTCAATAAACATAATTAGAATTTAAAAAAATAATAATCTCATATAGTTAAGGAGATTTCTTGATATATTCCTAGCGATTACTAAGCTAAGTAGTAATGTTTGCATATGTTTATGAACGTGATTACCAATGACATTTTAAAAATATGTAAATCATTTTTATATTTACAATATTTTTAGTTATTATAAAATATTGTCATAATTATTGTTGGGTATTTAAGTATTTTATAAGATATAAATATCAGATTTATTTTCTAATAACTTTTTTTAAAAATATAATAATATTGATACGATATTTTTATTCGTGTGCTAATACCTATAATATAAAAATTAGGCGTTGTACACAATTAACATATTGCTAGTCTAATATATTTTTTTTAATTTCTTGGACGAGGTTTTACATGTGTCATTTAATCTTCCTCCAATCTATATTTGTAACGGCGTAGGTGTCAATAAATAAAATTATAATCATATTAGGATGATGCATTTTTACATTTAAATCGTATCTATTAAGAAATCGATTATACATTTATCGAAATAACCTATTACCTTTATCCACACTCAGTGGAGTATACCCGATACTAAAAGACCTTAATATACGGTACATGCCTGGTTGGCGGGGTAGAATGGCACTACGTCCGAGAGAATATTACATAGATTTCTATAATACTAGTATTATAGAAGTCTGTGGAATATTTAAATAATATTATTGTTCATAATATTAGATAATAGAATTAATGATATATAATCGTATCTATAGATGTTAAACATAATTAGGATGCGACATTGATCCAAAATCGTGAAGCCAACATAACGAAGAGAAAAACGATGTACGGCAAGAGAGAAGTCCGAGAGGTGAAACGTCGTTTCTCTCTCCGTTGTGTTGGCTTCAAGCCAGAATATCTATAAAGAATTTTCTTGGACGCGACGCTACTGCGCATGTGCACTTTGTTTCGGCCCATCGTGAAACGTGTAAACTACATTAGGCTGTGACACACGTCGCACGCACACGCACACACACACACAAACACACGTATGGGGGGGGGGCAACCCTTGGCTTTTTCCCACTTGTAATGTTTGATACGTATTGACATAAAATAAATTAATAATACAATATAATAAAGGTTTACTTGAAGATTGCAGACTCCTGCGGTACGTATCAGCATTCAAATACGGTTGTCCCCTAAACTCTTCCTCGAAACCATGCCTATTCCAACACTTAACGCCGTACCGGCATTCGCCTCTCAAATAAAACTCACACATCCCTGAATGTGCCATTATGATCGCGGTCGATAAATTATACTATTTAGAAGATTTAGAATCGATAATAATAGATATAATATAGTCCGGAGTTAAACTGTGGATGTCTAACAATCGCCGGTTGAATATTAATGTTGCTATTAGTATTTAATATTATAGATCGAAGGTAACGCACAAGCAAAAAAAAGTACTACAATACTACGTTCACTGACTGACTACTGAGTGCCGGACTGTTGACTCGGTGCTGAGTGCCGCCGATCCAGAGATGTTCCATATTATTATCCATTGTCCCTGTCTTTCTTACGCCACCTATTTACAGTGCTACCACCATAATTCAGCCAATTCACTGTTACACCCCTAACCCACTGGATTTTGATACACCCAATTTGTTTCGATTTTGCTTTCTATATTATAATATTATGACGTGTAGTATTGAGTACAGGGTTTGGACTGTTTGGAAGACGCAATCAGTGGCGGCGCTAGGTTTTGCGGGGCCCGGGGCAAGTAAAAAATGTGGGGCCCTCTGGCCCTCATTCGTATCTTATACATTACATCCCAATTCCAAATTAATTATAGATTTAATTCAAAAGATAATTTTGTCCATCGATTTTAAAACCAAAAATTATTTTACATTAAGTAGGTAAGTATGTAAAGAAAATCAAAACAATCAATGATAAATGTATAATCATATTATTATTTGCATAGAAAATAAACTAATAAGTTAAGTTAAAATACTAGTAGATAAGTAATAACTTATATTTATAAACAAAGTTTAAAAAAAATGAGTGTGCTGAACAATTAACAATATTTTTTTTTTATTTTTATTTATATTTTAAAAATACATAATACATTGTTAAAGCAAAATGTTGTCAGTTATAATTCTTTAATTTTTCTAGCTTTTTTAGATGCAAAATCATTTATTATATCTTCATAATTTAGTTGTTCTGATAGTTCTTTTTCTATACGAATTGTAGCAAGTCCAGTAAGTCTTTGTTGTGACATGGTACTTCGTAAATACGTTTTTATAAGTTTTAATTTTGAGAATGTTCTCTCTGCTCCAGCTGATGTAAGCGGAATTGTTAACATAATTCGTAAGGCAATATTCAAGTTGGGAAATGCGTTCGGTTTTTTTTATGTCAGAAAGTACTTGAAGTGGTGTAGTATTTTTATAAATTAAATGGCGGAAAATTAATATTTCTTCGTATAAATCATAATCGAAATTATTTTACTGATTGCTAAATATCGATTATTTATATAATTATATATTTATTATGACTAAATAAGATACCAGAAATATCAAATTGACCGTAAAATTAAAACCAGTCTTGTAGTTAAGACTTACAGATCAAGCCGATTTAATATTATTTCAACGAAAACAATAGTATTTTTATTGATGCCAAATTGTTGTGAAAAATAATTAATAAAGTGAATTTTGTGGTATTTAAATACAAGTATTTATATTATGTTAAAAATACTCTTATAAAGTATTCAGAATATTTAAAAAATACTTTAAAAACATTGTATTTAGAATAGGTACCAAAAAATACTTCAAAAAGTATTTTAATACACGTATTGAAATACTTGGAATCGAATACTCTACAAGACTGATTAAAACAAATAAATTATAAAATTACTTATTTAAGATACAAAGAGCTATGTTGAAATATTTATGAATTTTTTTAATGGCAGTCAGCACTCCTGCTTCGCTATCTTTAAAATGAAGAAGTAAAAATATAAAATAAATATGTTCTAATGTTATATGAAACAAAAATTATACGTCGTCGCCCGTCGGCTGTCACTCGAATTCTCCTGATATGCTGGAATCCGATAACAAATCTATCCGTATCACTAATCTTTATCGAATACTTTACGTATTTTATTCATATCTCTCGTAGAAAGTAGGTAACTATTAGTATATTTTATATATTAATATATTATACCTGCACATATTATTGGCTACATCAAATGCGATTAGCCAATAACGACGATACAACCTTCGAGCATTTTAGTTTTAACAATCATTATAAACAACTAAAATAAGTCGGTAGAACGTATAGAAATCAACTTAAATTTAATGTGATACATGGGTATTTTGGGTAATATACTTTTTGTTGTTAGTATACCTAATAGTATATGTTGTGTATACCAAGACTCGTGATCAAAAATTAACTTAATTTATGTTTTTTTGGTTTCATTCAGGTGGGAGCACTATAAATATCGGGGCCCCGGCGGGGCCCCAAAATCGCGGGGCCCGGGGCACGTGCCCCGCTCGCCCCGACGATTGCTCCGGCACTGGCACGCAATTACAGCATTCCAATAAATCCAATATGGTCTTAAAAATACGTAGGTACTAATAATAAATTAAAAATGAATAGATTCTAAAATATTATGGAATATTTTTTGTACATTATAAATTATAATACATAACACATTAGCACAAATGGTATTATTTTGAAATGGTTTTCGAGCTTTGAATATTTTAAAATTGTAAATTGTTTGTACATATTAAAATACCTACTCATAACTCAAGAACTTATGGACCTAAACATGATATGCTGAGTGTAAAATTTGTTAAGCTAAGCACTTGTCAGACAGAGACGACAAATGTCATTGTCGCGTCCTCGTAAACCTAACTCGGGTAAACAAATATATAAACACAGTTTGGGTTTTTGGTGGTTCGTATCAGATCACAGGCAAAAAAGAATCTAATCAGCTGATCGTGATGGACGTTTGCGACGAACAGAATGTGAGCGTTTAATTGGTTTTCAAAATAAAATTGATAAAATTGATTGTTTGGAAATTCAAAATAAAATTAAATACAAATATTGATTTACGACTTACGTCCGTTCCGGTGCTACCTGTGGCTTTTATACAGATGGCGTTGTAACCTCTCGGTTCGTATTGCGACCCCCCCCCCCGGACTAGCTCCTGTACATACATTCGTGGCCACAGCTCGTTTCCAGTCACAGACTTCTAAACTATACTAGGTATATAGAAAACTGGGTACTATAATATAGCAATCTGTGTTTCCAGTACATTATAATATTATCTTAGTCAGTGGTTTTACCTATTAAACTCACCATAGGAAGAAGTACACATATAGCGCTCTCAGTGTACATAATCATATAATATGTATTGAAATAAAGAAATATATAATATATATGTATATTGTATCATTAAAATATTGAATTGTTTAAATAGGTACATTGATTTTCTGCTTGGGCGCTAGTTTCGTTTCTCGCAGTCTGTAATCGACGATAAACACCGGGTAATGGGCATCAAAATTAATGTTACGTTAAGTAACCTTGAATAATATATTTCAAATCATGTAGAAAACGTAAATATAATAAAAGCGTATAAACGCCAAGCCCGGATTAAGGGAGGGGCCAAGGGAGGCCATGTATGTAAAGGGCCCATAGTCTTCTCGGCCGAATATTACATTGAGTGGTAATTTGTAATTTTTATAGTGCCTACAAGAGTACCTAAATATTTTTTTCTTGTTTGAACTAACAGGCGTTGTGGCCCGTCACCCACCTACCATGCTTACCACCACAGGCATTAGTTTATAGGTATATGGATAAAACGCAACTATTTATTTAGATAAAATAAAAAGTAACTAAATAATTATCTAGATAATTTAACCAGATAAGTCTCAACACTGACTATATATACCTACTATATTTTTATAAGTCATAAGTCTTTTGAATATTGTGAGTTGGGTTACATCATTTCGTCAGTTTACCTATATATAATATAGCTATATACATAGAACATTATAGAAGCGACACTCGCCTCTCCACTTCAATTGTTTTTATTTCGTGGCGGACTGATTGATGTTGTAAGCTTGGCAGTAAGGTATGATGTTAAGAACGCTTTCATCGCCGAAACGGACCACTCGATACCAGCCCGCCTGTTGCGCCGTTACCGATCCTACGAACTGTGCGGTTGTCGGCAACGACTTGCGTAAAGTGTTGAAGGCTGGAACGGGGACGGGTTACTCAATATATGCGTACAACTCAAATGTGAGGTCGGAAACACGTTTAATGTGTGTAACAAAATATGACAAATAAATAACGGGCGCCCAAAATAATATAGTATAAATTAACATAACAACTAAATACCATAGCTGGTGAACAATAATTATATAAAGAGCCCACTGACACGTGGGACTAAAAAACAATGAATAAACCTGACGACGGCTACTGCGTGGCTCGGCGACTGCGTCGATCCTTGGTGATGACTGCTGACCAAAGTAGGTACCTCGCCGGAACGGCGACGGCGGACAAATCTTCAGCTCGTCGCTCGACGATGATAGCTCGTGATTCCACGCGACTAGCGCGAACGCGAACTCGAATAATATATTTACGCCTTTCCGTGGCAAAACACTCGCGAGCACGCGGAGGGTAGAGTAAAAACACGCGCACGGCGTAAATACACGAAAAACGGACTCGATGTGAGCTTAGCGTCACACGTCGATCACGACGGACAAAACACGCGTGTTCACACGCGACTTTTACTATGTCACTCGATGTAGCAACAAGTACGTACCGCGACGACTATTAAAACGCGAGAAAAACGTACTTCGGAAGTAGGTACTATAGTGCGGCCAGCGAAACTAGAAGCTTGACTGTCACGCTCCCGGTGGCCATTTTTCATTAGGGCTACGAAGAATGGTTTCCCGCGTATAATAATTTCAAACACTTGTTATACGTGCGCGTATCGTATATTTATACGCGTGGCTATGAAACGGGTCTTTACTTTAAAGGCATAACAATTTATACTTCTGTATAACACATTTTTTATTAATTTATTATCAAATTTTCAAACATAAAATAATAATAGTAACATTTAAAATATTTACAATTATTTACGAAATTTAATAATAAACATAAAAATCTATTCATCGTCATCGTCATCATCGTCGCTTGAACTGCTGTCGTCTGGATAAATTGTTAAAATTATTGGCTCTAATATTTCGTCCCTCAGTCCTGCTTTGTGGAAATCCTCCTCTTGAATTT